TCCTTCCTTGTGCCTAATATGGTGTGTACTGCTCAGTCTCTCCAACAGCACAACTTCCTCCCACAGCTCCTGACATGCGCGCCCACCTGACTAACTGAGAGGCTTTTAACTAGTTTCAGCCAGCCCCTGATTGGCTTCAGGTGTCCCAATCAACCTAGCATCCTCCCTGCCTTCTGGAAAGCTCTTAATTGGCTCCAGGTTGTCTTAATTGACCTGGAGCAGCTGCCATTTACTTATCCTGGTACCAGGGATTTGTTTAACCTGGGGCTAATATATCTGTCTCCCACTACTCTTCTATAGCCATCTGGCCTTGTCCCATCACACTATTGATAAAAGAATAATTTCAGTCATCTTCCAAAAGCAGAGGGGAAAGGTAATGACAAAAACCGGCAAAAAGTTCTCATTGACCAAAGTCACTTTGGACCCATCAACAACATGAACTGTTACAAGGTTAACTGATCTCAGACGCACTGTTTTTGGACCAGTAGGAAATAAAATATCAGCGACACTTGTGATAGAAGCAAAGGTCAACTTAGTAGTATGCGGGGTCAGGATCAAAGACCAGGTTTTTCTTTTACAAGATAAAATAGCATTCTAATTAAACAATTGCCTGCTATAGAAAGTTCATTTTTCAAATACTTAAAAATATTCACATGTATAGGAAAAATGCTTTTCCTATTATATGTTGTATATTTTAAATTTCCTCACCATCCTCTTCTCACATGCACGCTTCTTCGCAGTTGTGTTAACACTAATGTCCACTGATGCAACCACTGATAGCTCTAGTCAACTGATTCCTCCCGTAAGAGTGACTTTGGTTACTTATACGATGTCTTTCAAAATCATCCTTTAAAAAGTTAACCTTCTCTTTTATTAACTATCTGTTTCAATTTTTATTTGAGGTACAACAAAAAATGTACAATTCTCTAAAAAACAGAGCTATTGATTACATTCTCTCACAGTGCTAGAGGATTGAGAAAAAGGAAATGATTAAAAATATCATCATCAACTACGCCTGCCTCAAGAGCAAATATAATTGACAATTCAAAGACTAGGGTTGGGGCCACCACTTTGGAAAAATTAAGAACTCTGCTTCCTCCTGTCATTACTCACCCTAAAAGTTTTCCTTATTTTATAATCCAACTAAAACTGAATATTTGGAAGATTCCAAAAGTATTTTGATAACTTTCCCTCATTCTTGTGCACAAATACACTTCAGGATTGTGGCCACAGGCTGAAGAACCAGGAGTCTCCTCCCTTATAACAGTGCATCTGTATCATGTAATGCACCTATTACAATAGTATCTGAGTCACCACTAGCTTTTCCATCTCTCCTATTGTTATTACTGATGAGAAGATTCTCTTCTCTTAGGGAAAATGCAGATCTACAAACTCAACCTTTTGCCTGGAACAAAGTGATCTAGAAAGTACCCTGTCACTGGGCCAGACTCTTCCTTCAGTTAGATGAGTGTAAATCTGAAGACACCTACTGAAGTCCATGGCATTATTCTAAGTTTGCACCTGTTAAACAGAGCAGAAAGTCTCTACTCTCTGCAAGTTCCAGAGAGGAACAGTTGTGTAAAGTCTTGTGAGCTTCAGAATACAAAACAAGGCTTATCTTTTTTTGGGCAGGCCTGAGCTTGGTTGGTGTCACCGGACTCTTTTGGAGTATGATTTGGAGATCTGAGTTCAGAGGATAGTTGAAAAGGTGAGGAAAGCCTTACCAATTCACGGTTCCCTTTCATACAATAATTTCCATAAGAAGAATGATGGCCACGATAGAAATGCATATATATCAAAGACACATCAAGGGGTTCTATGGGTTAAAAACAATCCATGGATATTACTTAAATTCAACATGAAACAACCATGAACAAATGGCTGACTTGTCACCTGCTTTCCACAAGGAGAGATTCAAGTCACGCTAGTCCTTTCAGTGTCCTCTTCTTTTACAATTCACTATTGTGTGCTCAATTAAATAAAATGATTGTAATATCTTTCAATATGCCATGTTTGTCAAATCCTCAAGGCACTAACCGATGTCAGCATGTGTAGCTAAGCTAGTGCCACAATAACATTTTTAAAGATTGTAAGCCTCTATACCGAATTACAGAAATAATGCAATTACCAGGTTTAGTCTGCAGTACTTCTGGCCCGATAGATGTTTTGGGTTTGGATGGAATGAGTCGTGTTTCTTTTGGAGCTGAAAGAAAGGAGCAGGATTATTATTGTATTCTTCAGGAATCATAGTTCAATGCCATGTTTAGCCCACAGAAAATAAAAGCCTGCAATAAAGAAAACAACATTTTCATGGTTTTCTGGAAGCTGAAATAAAATGACTGCTCAAAAGGAAGAAAATTAAGAGTGCTGCGCCGGGGGATGACTTGATATAGTGATCAAAGTGGCCACAATTCTGATGCTCTGAGAAAATGGGACCACTCAGTTTTGACAGATAGATAAGAAATAGGTTAATGGGTGCTTCTGAGCAGGTTTGGCAGAGTGGCAGAGAGATCATTTCTAAGACAGAGCTGTGAGTATTCCATGGCAAAGGATGTGCATTCATGTAGAAGGAGAATGAAATGTTGCAGCACAAAATAACTTTCTAGAACATGTTTTCTAGAAGAGTTTTCTTTGGTGAAAAGGGAAAAATACCAATATAACAATTTCAGTAAGGAAACTTCTTTACCCATCGTTGCCTTTGTCTGTTTAGAGGTGACAGAAGGTTTTGTTATGAGTGGCTGCGGGGATGTTCGATGTATTGCTGTTGGGGAAAAATGCAAAGAATCTTAGATACTAAAATAAAAAAGAATTGATGAACTTCGGTTTTGCACACAAGATAAAACAAAAACTGCAATTGAAATAGGTAGCATTTGGGTTATTACTGACCCCCCCCCAAAAGGGTCAATTTACAAATCACAGCATAACACAGTATCAATTGTACTGACTGTTGACAGAAACAAATTGACTAAGATCTTCCTTGTAGCTTCTTGCTTTATATTTGTAAAACAATATAAAATCAGTAGCAAGATAGATATAGAAGTATCCATTTTAAAATTGTTTTTGTTCTAATATAATACTACTACTAAGCTCTTATATAGCACTTCTAATTGGTACATCTCAAAGCACTTTACAAAGGAGGTCATTATAATGATCCCCATATGGGAAGAGTAAGACACAGATAAGAGAAATGACTAGAAAGTAATTAGAAAGGGTCTGATATATGCAGCCACCCAAACTCTTTTTTAAAAAACAAAACAAAACAAAACAGTGAATCTTCCAGTGCTGAAACAATGACGGTTCATCATGTGCCATTCCTTGAAAATCCTTAGGGAATGAGAAATAGTGGCACGGGGTTCAGCCTCTCCTTTTTGGGACAATAAATCTGTCAGCTTTAAAGTATTTTTGGTTTTCATATGCAGAGGTGTACATTTTGCCATCGCTTACCCCAGTGCAACACAACTGACTAGAGCTGCACAGGAATAACTAAAGAGAAATTGGCTGAATGCTTCTGAAAAGCACAACAACTGAGGTTTGGCTAAACGAATGATTAAACCTCAATATACAGAATTACAAAAATGACTCAATTACCAGGTTTAGTCTGTGGGATTCCTGGCTTGATGGATGTTTTTGGTTTAGTAGGAATGAACGGTTTTTCACTTGAAGCTGAAATAAAAAAAAAATCCCTGGATTATAATTGCAAATTTCTTTAAGGAAACACAGTGATTGCAGCCTTCAAGGAAATGTGTGTCCAATAGCCTGTGAGGCAAATTGTGCAAGAGCAATGCTGAAAATCACTTAGTATGCATGGCCAAAAAAGAAGAAAAAATTACACTGCATTTTGTTTCAATAGTAATTGCTGTGTCTGAAGTGGGTGGCATTCCCAGTGTTATGAGAACATCCACCTTTGGCTGAAACAGGAGAAAGTTGTTGACAAAAAGATACAGAACATGTTAAAACGAAGGGGCTGCTCAAACTAACCTGACAAAAGATAATTTATTCAGACACTACTGGCCAAATTCTCCTTCTGTACGTGAATGCCTGAGGACAGATTTGACACTATGTTATTTTCCTGTTAGTCCCCCACTCCACCTAACTGGATCTATGGATCAGCTTCCCAATTCCAGCTTACAAAATTTCTCAATTCTAAGTTGATCTCCATATCTTTCAGCCGAGAACTCTTGCCATGCGGCATATCCTCAACTGAAAACAAATATTATTAGGAATATGCTTAGTATTTATGGCTAATTTTTTTTTTAGTGGTACTGGTGTGGTCTGTGATCCATATTGGTGTGAAAAACGTAGAAAAGTTATGGACAGGGACTATCATATCCTCATATTAGGACAATTCACCAGAGAGTGGACATTTGGGTGTTAAAGGAAATTCAAATAAAAAAATTATAAACCCACATGTTAAAGAACCTTTTCGCCCCAGGTGTGGGATCTCAAGTAACCTAACGTATATACAATAATATCTGGTGAAGATGTAGATAGCTCACAAGTGACTGCCAATGCATACATCTAGTACTGATTCTTTTCCTCTTTCAGAGCAAAAATAGGACATTGTTTTAGTAAAATATTCACGTAATAGAAAGAGCTTTAATTTTGGGAGTTACCGAGAAATAGTATAAACCAGGGATTAGTATCTACTGAGATGGAGAAAAAGTTGCACCAATTTAATTTTCAAAACATTGGCTAAGACCTATCTACAAAGCTGAGGCCAGATGACTTAGATCACTGATTAAGATAGTTGGAGAGATGCACTCTAATTAATACACCCTACTCTCAGAAGCATCCATCTTCTCACTACGACCGATAGATTTTTTTTTTTTCATTGTAAATTTTATTTCTGCTCACAAGCTCAAATAAAGAGTATCTACCTTAGATTCATTCAGAAACTCTCCTACTGGGACATGAATAATTAAAGTTCAGAATAAAAATGGTGTGGCTTATGTTCCACCTAACCTTTTCCTGTGAGGGCTGACTGGGAGCTAGTTGAGGTGATTGGAAAGATGGGTTTGAGAGCTGCTGTTTGGAATTGGGAAGAGATTGTAGGTGGTCCATTTTGATTTTTGTATGGTCTATGGTGGTGGTTGGAGTCCTACAGTTTTCTTTCAGTTGTCTTATATAAATTGTGTAAAGAGCTCAAAACCAAACCAAAGGTGCAGGAAACACCTTTCAATAAATACACTACCTTTTTAATAATGTCTTAATGAGTTGAATTTATGAGAGACAATGAAGAGTGTTACATATTTGGATATCAGTTTCTGTACATCTGATATTACATTTCCAGCAACACTTGTCTGTTCTATAAGTCAAGTCTCTTCTGATTGGAAAAGATATGAAATCTCAACGAATTAGGAAATCTCCTTGATCTTAAGAACTATCAAGGAAAGGAAACTTTGAGTGAAATATTGTAGGTGATGTCCTTATTAACAGAGTTGGGTAAAACTGTTAAAAAAAAATGCCAGGAACACTTGTGTGACTTTTTTTGCAAATTTGTTCCATATTTTGCGATCACTAAATTTCAATTTTCAAAAAAATCTAGACAAGTTTAAATTATGCATAGAAAGCCTGAGAAAAAGGAACAAGCCACTTTCCTGAAACATCTCACATGAAAAGACCATTTTAACATAAAAATTCATGCTTGTGTGCTTTTTAAAAGATGCCACTGTAGGATACCCACCTAGCTTTCAGCCCACTGCTTACCCAACTTAATCATGTGGTTTTTATGAGGCAATATCACCTCCATCTTCTATTTCAAAAATGTGATTTTTTTAGTTCTACTGTCACTGCAAATGTTCAGATAATGAAAAATATTTTCTATAAAATAATATTGAAAAATTTGGAAATTGAAATTGTTCCAATTCACTCAGACACAGGAAAACTTCATTAAAAACCCCCACAAGTAAACATTGCTTTATTTCACCAAATTCTACTCATTGAAAAAATCTGTTGAGATATTGGAAGTGTTTTTCCCAGAGTCCTGAGCAAAAGTATCAATCATTTTCCTATTCAGTTCCTAAGATCCTCCTGAGTAGCTGGAAATGGCACTTAAGAGATTATGCATTTCAAAATCAGGATTTAGCCATATAGACAGTCCTAGCTGCAAAAGAGCCATCCTTTTTTTCCATTGTAGAGTTGAGGAGAGAGACAAGGAACACACTAACTGGCAGGATGATCTCATGGAAGGATAATGCTCCTGGATTTCCATACTGTATTACAGAACAGAAAAAAAGAACTTGTGAGGCAACATTGCATGTGTCGGAGAAAAACAGAGTTCTCACTCTCTTTTTTGGGTGCAGCAAATGTATGCATTGAAATCCCCTTCAAATCCCTGTCACATGTTTTGAAGATTTAAACATTTTCTCCTAGAAAATTCATACTGTGTGAAGAAAAAGATTCCCCAAGGTACGTAGGTACCTTGAATTTGTTTCTAATTATGCTAGGTGATGTGATTGGGGGTGGAGGGAGTGCTAAGAGGCTGACTGCCTCAAAGAAAGCCTTAGAGAGCTGAAATTTCTATTACAATTGAGAAGTAAAGGCAAGACAGGAAAGATGATCTTATCAAACTAGAAAGGGAGAAAAAACAAAAACAAAAAACAAGGAGCATGAAGGGCAATCCAGTTCTAGGAAGCTGAGTGAAAAGGAAAATGGTAACTCGGAGATAGTAATTGTCTGGTTTCCAGAGTTGGACTTGAAGTAATGGGAAGCCCAAGATACAATCAGATTCTAAGGGCTTGTCTACACAGTGCAGTAAAGCGCATTCAGAAGTTGTGACTTGTACAGTTCTGTAATATGCTGTGCTCTAACTGCCCCATTTAGACCATGTTGGCTGGAACTAGAAGGTATATAGTTTGCATTAACATAGTCCTGTTTCAAAGGAGCTGACTGAAGATAAACAGAAAGGGTTTGTCCACACAAAGACTTAGTGCATGGCAAGTTGGGATAAGAACATAAGAATGGCCATACTAGGTCAGACCAATGGTCCATCTAGCCCAGTATCCTATCTTCTGACAGTGGTCAATGCCAGGTGCTTGAGGGAATGAACAGAACAGGTAATAACCAAGGGATCCATCCCCTCTTACCCATTCCCAGCTTCTGGCAAACAAAGGCTAAGGACATCATCCCTGCCCATCCTGGCTAATAGCCATTGATGGACCTATCTTACATGAACTTCTCTAGTTCTTTTTTGAACCTTGTTATAGTCTTGGCCTTCACAACATCCTCTGGCAAAGAGTTCCACAGGTTGACTGTGCATTGTGTGAAGAAATATTTCCTTTTGTTTTAAACTTGCTGCTTATTAATTTAATCTGGTAACACTTCCTTATTTACTTTCCCATACCAGTCATGATTTTATAGACCATATTGCTCCCAGTCATCTCTTTTCCAAGTTGAAAAGTCCCAGTCTTATTAATTTCTCCTCCTATGGAAGCTGTTCCATACCCCTAATCATTTTTGTTGTCCTTTTCTGTACCTTTTCCAATTCCAGTATATCTTTTTTGAGATGGGGCAACCACATCTGCACGCAGTATTCAAATTGAGGGCATACCATGGATTTATATAGAGGCAATATGATATTTTCTGTCTTATTAGCTATCCCTTTCCAAATGATTCCCAACATTTTTGACTGCTGCTGCATATTGAGTGGAACTATCAGAGAACTATCCACAATGACTCAAAAATCTCTTTCATGAGTGGTAACAGCTAATTTAGACCCCATCATTTTGTATGTATAGTTGGGATTATGTTTTTCAATGTGCATTACTTTGCATTTAGCAATACTGAATTTCATCTGCCATTTTGTTGCCCAGTCACCCAGTTTTGTGAGGTCCCTTTGTAACTCTTTGCAGTCTGCTTTGAACTTAACTATCTTGAAGAATTGATGTAAATCTACAATGTGCTAGCCTGCCACACACTAAGTCACCAAGTAGACCCTGGTACCACGCACTAGAAGTTCTGTAGTGTGGGCACCACAGAACTTTTACAGCATGGTAGCAGAGTCCACATGGCCGGCTAGTACGTGGCAGGTTAGTGCATTGTAGATTTACATCCCAACTTGTCACACACTAAGTCTCTGTGTGGACAAGCCCAAAGATTGAGAAGTATCTTACTCTGGGAAGAAGCCTGAGAGGCAAGTCACCTATCCGAAAAGCTCATAAAAATCCTAAAAAGCGCACTACACCCAGTTAGATCTGATTGTACAGTTATCAAAGAGCAATTCCAGTATGTGGTCTTTCCCAAGTAAGATAGCAGAATGTACGACTGCTATTTTCCCAGAGACAAAGGAAACGGAAGCAGGATTCATTTTCTCCATTTGCTATGAATTAAAAAATTCAGATTGGGCTGAAGGGTGCTGCTGCTGCTACAAAAAAAGATTTATTCATGTGAGGAAGCGCAAACGACGTTGTTTGCACAGGCCAAAGGACAAGCATGCATCTAGAAGCAGAGGAAAGTTTGATGATTACATTTAATGGCATAAAATGAGCTTCTCCTTGGAATTTCTTCTCTGATAAGAATGAAAACAAACAAAACAAAGTGACTACCTATTGAATAAATATTATTACCCAGTGTTGCTTTTGCTCGTTCAAGAGAATGAGGAGTTGTAGCGGTGACTGGCTCTTGAAGGGCTCGAATGACTCCTGCTGGAAAAAATGTAGATAAATCCTGAGAGAGATGAAGGGACTCAATGAAGCTACACAATTTATACCAGATGAAGATCTGGCCCAGGATGTTTTAAAATAGCAGCAAGCATTTGCAATCAGAGACTTACAAGATATAAGTAGCTACTCTTAGGCTTTATTTAAAAGGAGTTTTGAGGTTTGTTTTGTTTTTTTAAAGAGAAAAACATTTAAAACATGGTGGCACTATACTCTACGTTCATGCTGTTCCTTGTTTATACGAAAATTCTCTGTAGTAGGCTCTCTTTACAGATATGTCTATGTGTGTATAAAGTAAAGATAGACTGGTCTAGGCAGCAAAATTCAGATCGAGATCCAGATTTCCCTGAAGGCTGAAAAGCAATTTGATCCAGTGTTTTGGTTCAGGGCCCTGTTAGTACAAAGTAATCATACTGTGCACAGGGATGAAATAGGAGAACTCTTAACTGTGCCTGAGCATGTGTATTAGTTTTCCGATGGTATAGTTAATACACCTCTACCTTGATATAACGCTGTCCTCGGGAGCCAAAAAAATCTTACTGTGTTATAGGTGAAACATCGAACTTGCTTTGATCCGCCGGAGTGTGCAGTCCCGCCCCCCACCCCGGAGCACTGCTTTACCGCGTTATATCTGAATTCGTGTTATATCGGAGTAGAGCTGTAACATACTTAGCTTTGCAATGGTTGTTACAACAGTTTCTGACTAAGTATGGTTAAAACCAGAGGTGACCAAAATTTTTCATGAGGAAGGTTTTCCCACCAAAAATTATGGTTTTGTCAAAACTGAAATTTTTCACAGTAAATATCGATTCAGATTAAAAATTTGGTTTTCCTGCAGGGAATTTCTGAACAAAAAATTTTAATTTTGACTTAAAATGTTTTGGTTTGGTTTTGTGGTTTAAAAAAAACCCAAAACAAAATGGAACGTTTTAAGTCAGTTTGTCAATTTGAAATGAAAAATTTCATTTCATTTGACATAAATTTTTATTTTTATACCAAAAAACAAATAAACTGCCATTTTAAGTCAAAACAAAACACTTTTTTTCCTTTTTGAAATGTTCATTAAAAATTCATTTCAAATTGTTCAGACTTCTCATGGGAAAACTGAAATATTTCAATAGACAAATTCTGAAATAAAAAAAATTTCATTTGAAATTTGTCACAGGAAAAATTTTGGTTTTTCAATTAGCTCTGGTTAAAACCCATGTGGACCATACAGAGGAGTCTAAGGAGAGATAAGGATCAATGATGATGGTGGAAAGTTTGTGTTACATGACAAAGTATCAGCGTAAGAGATACGTGTCAGCACAGTGTTAGTGTTTCTCATATTGATTACATTTCTATACTCTCCGAGAAATTGCGCCAGCCTTAAACCTTAACAATATGATTTCTCATGCTTTATCTATCTTATATGTTTATAAAATACCTCCGATCTGTAGTACTTTTAATAAACCTTTTTTTCTTTTAAATTTTACTCTTCAGCACAGGGTCTGCCTTTTGTACATTGACTAGAATATTCTGGGTTTTACTGTAATATAAATAATAAATTAGATACACAAAACAATGTAAGGAGAATGTTATGTAAGTTGTAAAGTTAGAAAATGCCAGTTTCATGTGAACTTAATTGCTGCACTTTTGTTTGTCCATCCTGTGTTCTAAATCAGGCAGGGGTCCTATGGAACAAATAGTGACGATATAATTAGGACTATCCGGATATGTGGACTCTCTACTCAGACCCTACGCCACCAGCACTCCCAGCTATCTCTGTGACACCACTGATTTCCTGAGAAAACTACAATGCATTGGTGATCTTCCAGAAAACACCATCCTAGCCACCATGGATGTGGAGGCTCTCTACACAAACATCCCACACACAGATGGAATACAAGCTGTCAGGAACAGTATCCCTGATGATGACACAGCACAACTGGTTGCTGAGCTCTGTGACTTTATCCTCATGCACAATTATTTCAAATTTGGTGACAATATATACCTCCAGACCAGTGGCACCACTATGGGCACCCGTATGGCCCCACAAGATGCCAACATTTTTATGGCTGACCTGGAACAACGCTTCCTCAGCTCTCGTCCACTCACACCCCTTCTCTACTTACGCTACATTGACGACATCTTCATCATCTGGACCCATGGGAAAGAGACTCTGGAAGAATTCCACCATGATTTCAACAGCTTCCACCCCACCATCAACCTCAGCCTGGACCAATCTACACGGGAGGTCCACTTCCTAGACACCACAGTACAAATAAGTGATGGTCACGTTAACACCACCCTATACTGAAAACCCACCGACTGCTATGCCTACCTTCATGCCTCCAGCTTCCATCCCAGACACACCACACGATCCATCGTCTACAGCCAAGCACTGAGGTACAACCGCATTTGCTCCAACCCCTCAGACAGAGACCAACACCTACAAGATCTTCACCAAGCATTCTCAAAACTACGATACCCGCACGAGGAAATAAGGAACCAAATCAACAGACCCAGACGTGTACCCAGAAGCCTCCTGCTGCAAGACAAGCCCAAGAAACGAACCAACAGAACTCCACTGGCCATCACCTACAGTCCTCAGCTTAAACCTCTCCAATGCATCATCAGTGATCTACAACCCATCCTGGACAATGATCCCTCGCTTTCACAGGGAGGCAGGCCAGTCCTCGCCCACAGACAACCCGCCAACCTTAAGCATATTCTCACCAGCAACCACACAACGCACCATAACAACTCTAACTCAGGAACCAATCCATGCAACAAACCTCGATGCCAACTCTGCCCACATATCTACACCAGCGACACCATCATAGGACCTAACCAGATCAGCTACAACATCACCGGTTCATTCACCTTCACGTCCACCAATGTTATATACGCCATCATGTGCCAGCAATGCCCCTCTGCTATGTACATTGGCCAAATTGGACAGTCCCTACATAAAAGGATAAATGGACACAAGTCAGATATTAGGAATGGCAATATACAAAAACCTGTAGGAGAACACTTCAACCTTCCTGGCCACACAATAGCAGATTTTAAGGTAGTCATCCTACAGCAAAAAAACTTCAGGACCAGACTTCAAAGAGAAACTGCTGAGCTTCAGTTCATTCGCAAATTTGACACCATCAACTCAGGATTAAACAAAGACTGTGAATGGCTAGCCAACTACAAAAGCAGTTTCTCCTCCCTTGGTGTTCACACCTCAACTGCTATAAGAGGGACTCACCCTCCCTGATTGAACTAATCTTGTTATCTCCAGACTGATTCTTGCCTGCATATTTATACCTGCCTCTGGAAATTTCCATTACATGCGTCTGACGAAGTGGGTATTCACCCATGAAAGCTTATGCTCCAATACATCTGTTAGTCTATAAGGTGCCACAGGACTCTTTGTTGCTTTTTACAGATCCAGACTAGCACGGCTACCCCTCTGATACTTGATATAATTAAAGATAGTATCATAACAAATGCACATAAGGGGGCAGAATTAAGGCTTCATGGGTAAGCATAAATCTGGCACTTTCTAACCGTTGGGTACTTGACTTTGCAAGTTAAATAACATTCTTTTAATGTATTTTTGTATGTAATTGCCTAGTTATTTTTTTCAAGAGGAAAAAGGTAAAAACAAATTCTATTATGTGCAACTGTGACAGCCTACCATCATGCCATCAACAGCAGGATTTGAACCCTGAATCTTCAGCACAGATTTCTATCATTTGAACTACAGCACTAACTACATTAGCTGGCATCCCAAGAAGGCTGTTATCCCAGAGAGGATGGAATGGGCCACAGGCACTATATGCAGGTTCCAGGGTGGCTGAAGGGAGCCTGGCCTGGCCCAGCTCTCCTTGTTTCCTGCCCTCCCCACCTGCTGTCCAGGAGTTGGGGCAGCTCTTGCCTTATGTGATGCCCCAAAGTGTGGGGGGGATATAAAGGACACTGAGTTCCTGTGCTGGGCCTAAGGTGTGTGGTGAGCCTGGCTCAGCTCTTTCGCTAGACTGACACATATCCCGCTGCTACAGCTGTTCTGGCAGGCTCCAGATGTTCCCAAAGCAGTGTGCTCTACTGCTGGTGCTTTGGGGGTGGTGTGAACCGGACACTTTGAATTGTTTGTTTGTTTAGTTATTGTTTCGGCATGCTGCCAAAATTTTCCTGAGGAATGCAATTGACCAGAGAGAAATGATGATTTTTAACAGTTTAGACCTCAGCTGAACCTGAAAGGACCTTGATGAGATAAGGGAACCACCACTTTCCTAATCTAAGGCCTTTTTCTCTGCCAAATTCCCAAGGCATGCTGCAAACAATGGAAGTGTGAAAGTTTCTTAAATATAAATTACAAGAATCTTTTATAATGGAACGTGTTAGGCAACTTAAATAAAGGGGTTGCTACCAGCTCCCCCGGTAGGATATAAAAGCCCCTTTGTTTTCATCAGACTCACTACTTAACTGCAGTAAAATGGAGACTTCTTTAGCTGTAATGATAAAATGTTAATAGCATTTCTGCTGTTACCATTTCCCCCACAACAGTCCACTGTAGAAGAGTTGCTAAAAATGTGAACTTAAGCATAATGAAATGCAAAATAATTTACCAGGTTTAGTGTGTGGCACATCTGGACTAGGTGATGTTTTAAGTTTGGAAGGAACCCGCTGAGTTTCTTTTGGAACTGAAAGAAAGAACCTCTTATAAATGTTTACCCTCTCCAGGAATAAAAGTCTAACAGCAGGTGTAAAGCCACAGACACTGCAAGCCCTCTGCCTGCAACAAGGAAACAAAAATTTTATGGGGACAGTGAAGAAGGCTGAAAGTCACCTGTACACAGGCCTTTAAAAGAGAAATGATGGCCTGGCATGTGAAAGCATTTGAAAAATGATCAAGCAAGCAAGCGACAGACGTCCTTGTCCTGTTTGGAGTCAAGATGAACAAGGATTAAGACAAGAATTTATTAACACAGACAGACATGGCTGCAGGATGACTGAGATCTTTCCATTTGTGTTTCAAAGTGAATAGCTGCTGTGCCCCAGGCACTTCTCTTCATGATATGCATGCTTAACTCCTGTAGATATCAATGAAATGAGAAAGTACAAGAGAATGGAAGTGAGATTTTCATGTGAAGAAAACAGAATGGATAGAAATCCTCAGTTCCAAACAGAGGTTTTTTAGATCACAAAACAGAATAAAGTTTAACGAATCATTGAAGGATAGAGTAATTCTCTTTAGACTGATCCATGCCTTTTCAATGTTAATGCACAATAAGTTCTCTTTTAGTTATCAGTAGATATTTAATTAACACATCTTAACTCTAAAAAGTGGGCCAAGTGATGGATTGAGCACAGGTAGGAGCTGCAGGGAGTCAATAGTTGATCAGTGTCTCTCAGGACTGGGATAAATCTTTATAGTAGGCATTTTAAGAGTCAAATTGTGCCTTCAAATGCATGCTTGAACACAGGTGTGAGTCTTCCATATAGACCAGGGGTCGGCAACCTACGGCACGCGTGCCAAACACGGCATGCGAGCCGATTCTGAGTGGCATGCAGCTCCCTGCCGCAGTCCCGGCCCCCAGCCCCACTCAGCCCCCCCACCCACTGCTCTCCCCTGCGGGGGCAGAAGGCAGAAGCTTGGTCCTGTGGCAGCCAAGCTTTCCCCCTCCCCTGTTTCTTCCCCCTGCGTGGTGCTTTCCTGCCCCACCTCCTCTCGGTCCCTGGCCAATCAGCTGATGGCCCTAGCGAGGGGGAGGGGGAAGAGTGGCAGCGTGCTCCCTGCTCCATAGAGGACGCAGAGAGAGGTAGGGACGGGCCTTGGGGAAGGGGGTGGAACAGGGCATATCCCTTCCAGCCCCCTGCCATGAGCCGCTCAGGGCAGGGGGCTGGGAGCACCCCCACGAGCCGAGCACCCCAGCCTTCTGCTGAGCACCCCCCATCTCTCTGCCCTGCACCCCCCCACCCCAACACACACCCATCCCTCTGCCCTGAAAACCCCCACAAACTCAGCCTTCTGCCCTGCACCCCCCATACTCCCAGCTGTCTGCCCTGAACCCCCCACTCCCCAACACACACCCAGCCTTCTGCCCTGCACCCCCAGCCCTCTGCCCTGAACCCCCCACACCCCAACACACACCCAGCCTTCTGCCCTGCACCCCCCCAGTCCCCAGCCCTCTGGCCTGATCTCTGACCCCCCTGCCACACACACACCCCAGCCTTCTGCCCTGAACCCCCCTCCCCCAGCCCTCTGCCTTGACCCCTGAAACACTGCCCCGCCCAGGTCTGGGGTCCCGGCCGCAGGCCCTGATCACCCCTCTGCCGGCCTAGGTGAACAGAACCCCAGGCTGGCAGCGAGCTGAGCAGGCTGGTGGCGTAAGATCAGCATTTTAATTTAATTTTAAATGACGCTTCTTAAACATTTTGAAAACCTTGTTTACTTTACATACAACAGTTTAGTTATAGAATATAGACTTATAGAAAGAGACCTTCTAAAAACGTTAACATGTATCACCGGCACGCGAAACCTTAAATTAGAGTGAATAAATGAAGACTCGGCACACCACTTCTGAAAGGTTGCCGACCCCTGATATAGACATTCAACATCAGAGTTGTGCTCATATATGAAGGCATAAATTGCTCCTTAAAGCTTTGCCTATCTTTCCCTAGACAACTTTTGAGAGGTGTTAAAGAGAAAAAGTGACTCCAAATTTCCCTCGGAACACTCTTGTATAAAAAAAAGCTTTTAGTATAAAATTAACACTGCTGATTTTTGTTCAGTAACAGTTGAAAAATATCAGTCAAATGTGAACAGTGAAACAAAAATAGCTGTGATGGAAAACACAGCAAATTTATTTAGGTCACTAAGTTAGTGTGAAGTGTTTCTATTTGGCTTTTGCTTCTGGCAATGGCAGTGAGGCTGGTAAACTTTCCACATAAAACCACCACCACCTAAAGCACCAATCACATGGCAGAAGTACAGCCTTATGAACGGTTTCAGAGTAGCAGCCGTGTTAGTCTGTATCCACAAAAAGAACAGGAGTACTTGTGGCACCTTAGAGACTAACAAATTTATTAGAGCATAAGAAGTGGGTTGTAGCCCACGAAAGCTTATGCTCTAATAAATTTGTTAGTCTCTAAGGTGCCACAAGTACTCCTAGCCTTATGAAGGATTTGCAGTCACTTGGGCTTTGAGCAGCAGTGCCTGGTAGCTTCTATGAAAGCCAGAATAATTGGCTGAGAATCAGCTGATGGCAGTGTCTTGAATGGTGGCATTCTGTAAGCTCTGAATCCAGTTATAGTAAAAATTAAGTGTTAGCTGTGTGCCTGGTATTGTACTAGTTCTTGGAGGAGGCATAAAGGAAAATGCAGAGATAAACAATAATTCACAAAGAAGCCTTAAATCTGGTGCCCTCTAGACATTCACCTTGTGAAAAGGGAATTGCTGGGTGCCATAGAGATGCCATAGCAGCTATATGTCACCCCTTCCTTGGGACCAGGAGCAGCTAGGCATAAGTAAGAGAAGTCTGAACACTGTGGGTACAGGCTAAAACCATCTTTGCCACTCCCTCACCCTCCACAAATCCTCAGCTGGAATACAGAATCTCTATTTCCCAAACAGCTGGAGTACTGCTTTTCATTTACTACTGCACTTATTTAGTTTTCTGCAATAGCTTGGATAAGTACTTTTATGAATAATATTGCTTTTAAAAAGTGCATTGATTTAACGTGAGACTTTCTAAAACTCTCGGTCATCTAATTACACAAAATAATGGAATTATTCACCAAGAAAAAATATTAGTTAGAAAAGGTGAGTGAGGTCATATCTTTTATTGGACCAACATCTACTGGTGAGAGACAGAAGCTTTGGAGCTTATGCAGAGCTCTTCTTCAGATCTGGGAAAGATATTCAGAGTGTCACAGCTAAATACAAGGTCGAACAGAGAGTGTAGCATACATAGTTACATATTCTAAGCGACCGTTCAAGATGAAATGGCCTGTTAACACCTCTCTAGTCATAGGACAAAAAAGGGGGTTAGTGTGTTACAAATTGTTGTAGTGTCTTTATTTAGAACATGATTTTAGTGTCTATCCAATTATGAATTTAAGCTCCAAAGCTCGCAGTGGAGACATGTCTGCAGGTTTTATATCTGTTGTTATGGCAGGGTCTGGACTTTCTCCTCAGAGCATATTCTGTGGAATCTTTGCTCCCCAATATGCCAAACTCTTCATAGGCCACATTGAGAAAGAATTTCTGGACAAATACACCACAAAAACAATGATATACCTGAGACACAATCGATAATATTTTCATCCTCTGGACAAGTGACCTAAACTCCCTCATGGATTTCCATCACAACTTCAACAACCACCAGCCAGCCATCAAATTCCCTCTCAAACACTCCTGCACCAGCATCAGAGTCCTGGACACCAGGATCAGTTTCAACAATGGAACACGACAGTCAGCTATATGCAAAAAACCCATGGATCACCCCTCCTACCTTCACAGATCCAGTAATCACCCCAAATACGCCAAGAAACCTATTATCTAGAGCCAGGTACTCACATATCACAGAATATGTTCCAAGGAGAAAGTCCAGGATACACACCTAAACACACTTAAAACTGCCTTCGCCAAACAAAAGCACTCCACCAGAGACGTAGATTTCATAATGGAACAGGCCACCCAAATACCTGGAGAAAACCTGCTTCAATATGCCCGTCACACCCCCTGACCGCAAACTGCTGGTTGTCACCTGTCACCCCACACTGGAACCCATACAGGGTACCATTAAACAATTACAATCCATACTCGACAGGGACCACATCCTGAAAGAAAATCTTTCCTGAACCCCCTCTTTTGGTGCTCAAACGACCCCCCAACCTCTCTAGGCTCATCATCAGATGCAAGCTCCCCACAGACGAGGACACACTAATTAAAAGCAGCATAAGACCCTGCCATAAAAACAGATGCAAAACCTGAAGACATATCTCTACTGCTACGATGATCAGTGCTTTCCACAACACACCTTTCCAAATCCAGAGGTCCTACACATGCCTATCACAACATGTGGTGTACCTTATCCAGTGCACTAACTGCCCCAATAACAACTATGTGTATGAAACCAGAAAATCTGAACACTTTTCATAAAACAATCACTATCTCTGACCTCTCAGTGGAGTGGTGTTAATGGGCCACTGTTAACTTTTTATGCTAAACATTCCATCTTGTATTTAGCTGTGACACTGAGTACATTTCTCAGCCCTGAAGAACAGCTCTGTGTAAGCTCCAAAGCTTGTCTCTTTCACCAACAGAAATTGGTCCAATAAAAGATATTACCTCACCCACCTTGTCTCTCTAATATCCTATCCTGGGACCAACAGGGCTACAACAACACTGAGAAAAAAAAATCTAATTTTCCTCCAAGTTAAGTTCTGTTTCAAGAAGTCTGTCAGTTTTATTCACGCCTGAAGTGAATCAGTGGAAAGTCTAACTTTAGGGGTGACCATCTGGGCTCCAACTTTCCAGGTAGGAAATGTAACTTTTATTTTGATTTCCATGAATAGGTAGTTACTCAAAAAAGTGGAGTTTCTTACCTCTTTGAAAAGATAAGTCTCATAATTTAATTGATAGGTTCCCTAAAGTATGTTAACAAGTGTATGTAAACATTTTCATAACATTACTGATAAAAATGGTCATTAAATCTCTGTAGTTTTCATCTGTAGGTGTAAAATGTGAGATACCAGATGTTCACAAGCTGATGACTGAGAAGTAGAGACTTGCTATGCTACTATGCTAACATGTTAGTTTAAAAAAAATTCAGTCCATTGAAGTACAATTGCTAAAAATAAAACCTTGACATTAAGGAATACAAAACAATGATATAATTACCAGATTTTGTTTGTGGTACGTCTGGGCTGGGTGATGTTTTTGGTTTAGATGGGACACGTCGATTCTCTTTCGCGGCTGAAAGGATGCACAGAGTTATACATTAAAACAGGTGTGCTGCCGGGGAGCATTAATTTAGATTTTTCAAATGGAAAATTAAATTTCTTTCAGAAAATAATTCCAACAGAAAATTCCTGACTAGCGCTAATAATGGCCGATAGCCTGTCATTACAACATAGCATAGATTAGAGAAGAGATCAGAGGTTGAAGTGACCCCTGCCTGCTCTGCAGATTGTGGCAGTGGAAGGACGGGTGACACCTTTGTTCCTCCCACTCTCAGAGCCAACAGAGCTCTTGTGCAGCTGAAGATTCAGGACTTGTCTAGCTGGGAAAATGCACACTACAAAAGGGAGTGGATTTCTAAAGCACTCTAATGCGTTGTGCATTAAGTGGTCTATGTAGACCCTGCTGGTACCACTCAAGGTTCCCTAGTGTGCTTTAATATATATTAAAGCATGACATCTATTGATGTGCACCAGCAGGGTCTACATGGACCAGTTAATGTGCAACACATTAGTGCGCTTTAGAAATCACACCACCCGTACACAAGATCTCAGTCTCTACCTTTTCCTGTTGGTGCTGCCCTCGTATGTTGCATTTTCTGTAAATTTTCCCTCTTCACCCAGCCTTGCATAAAAATATCGCCAGACAAGCAACAGAAATCACCATTCACCTTCAGATGCAAGGCGATGTACAAGAGCAAAGTGGAGGGTTTTTTTGGTACCTTTGTCTTTTGACACTAGATAAACAAATCCCTTGAAACTACAGACGCCAGACAGTAGATAAACAATCTCTCTCCCAACCTATGGAAATTAAGGCTAAAGTCTTCTGTTGCATAAGGGCACAAAAAACCCCGCACTGAGTAAAATGCTGTAAAAAAATGGCTGTATATTTCATTAATGTGTGTACATATCAGGTAGGGCAATCTTGCTCCATGACAGCTGTGGAACGAATATTGATATAGTAATAGACTTCTGCTATTGCCACAAATGTGTGTGCGCGCACGCATGCACGCCAACAATTAATGGTAGAAAAGTTGCAAAATCATAAGCGGCACAACACTGAAATATAAAATTAAGGTGCACTTACCAGGTTTGGTTGGTGGCACATCTGGGATGGGTGATGTTTTAGGTTTGGAAGGCACACGCCGCATCTCTTTTGGAGCTGAAAGAAAACAACTGGGTTATATGTTGTTAAAGCTTTCCCAAGCATCACAGTCTGACACCAGCCACAACACAAGACTGTATACATAGTGTGACAAAGTACCTCCTCTGCCTTGGTGGGTCCTGCACTTATTGGCGGATTTGCTTGCCTCAGAGATTCACGGTAGCCCTCAGTTTGGCCACTTTTGCTAGTGGCTCAAACCTGCCGTTCACTCAGCTAACCTCATCACTGGCCAGCATTGGGGAAAAGGAAGGAGAACAATCCCCGCCGTCTCTGCTGACCCACCTAGTGGGTTGGGGGACAGGCCAGGGACCTTCCCCTCTGGTGGGACCCATAGTCCAGGTCAACTCCTCCTGTATCCAATAGGGAGTTGGGGGGATGGGAGGAACCCAGCCCCGCCCTCTACTCCGGGTTCCAGCCCAGGGCCCTGTGAATAGCAGCTGTCTACAGTGTTTCCTGTAACACCTATGTGACAGCTACAACTCCCTGGGCTACTTCCCCATTGCCTCCTCCCAACATCTTCTGTATCCTCACCACAGGACCTTCCTCCTGATGCCAGATAGCGTTTGTACTCCTCAGTCCTCCAGCAGCACACCCTCTCACTCTCAGCTCCTTGCGTGCCCCTCACTGACTGCAGTGAGGTCCTTTTTAAACCAGGTGCCCTGATTAGCCTGCCTGTCTTAATTGATTCTAGCAGCTTCTTAATTGGCTCCAGGTGTCCTAATTAGCCTGTCTGCCTTAATTGGTTCCAGCAAGTTCCTGATTGTTCTGGAACTGCCTCTGTTACCTTACCCAGGGAAAAGGGACCTGCTTAAACTGGGGCTAATATATCTGCCTTCTATCACTCTCCTGTATGTCCCCCGTAATTTTTTGGTCTCCAGGTCCTGTGGATCCCCCCCTTAGGCTGGGGGGGGGGGATCCTTTAGCTTCGCCCGCCCACTTCCTGGATCCCAATAGGATCACTCTCCTGTAGCCATCTGGCCCAACCCTGTCACAATAGTCATGGAGTACCTCAGTATGAGATACAAAACACTGATGTATTTACCAGGTTTGGTTTGTGGCACATCTGGGCTCGGTGATGTTTTAGGTTTGGAAGGAACACGCTGTGCCTCTTTTGGAGCTGAAATAAAGAACTCAAGCATTAAAATCATTATCCAGGAATCTGAGCCTGACACCACGTACACCTGAACACAAATGAAAGTCAGGTGTTCAAAGGAATTTCAAAGAAAAAGTTGTGTTGTTGGACAGTATCTGTATTGAGATCAACTAAGCATGGGGTGGGATTACTCACTGAGTTTGAGCCCAGGAAAAAAACAAGGGACATTAGAGAAATTGCAAACACAAACAAACGTGGCTTCAGAAAGATGGAGTATTTCTGGATGCTCTAGAGAGCAAACAAATTAAACTACATTCCTGTAAAGGAAAATATGCAAAGGTGGATATGAAAATGACAAAGGGAAAAAAAAAAGACTGTTTAATCATGAAAAGTGATGATAGATGAGCCCACTGAGCAACAGCCTACCATGCCTACATCTCTAATGAGAAGGAAAAGGAAATATGACCATCCCCATATTTAACATCATTACCTAATGGTGTCTTTGGTTGTTGAGTTCTAAATGTAGCTGCTTCCGGGGCTGTATCAAAAACAAATAAAACATAAAAATAACAATGAAAATCAAAATAGAAGAGAATAATTCTATTTAAAGTAAACTTTATTTATGTCTAAATAACAACTATGCTTTCATTTGTCTGCCAGCAATTAGTCAATATTCAAGAACCATTATGCTCTAACAAATCTAAACAGCTGAGGACAGAACCTAGCCCTTAAATGTGGGCTAATTTTTCCATCTTTTTTAATGGTCTTTAAAAAGAAAGATGATTGAAATTTATCTCAGTCATATACCCAGAAATTGGAGCCTGTGGTATGAAGCTCTTCCCTTACAAGTGCCTTTCATACGAAACTTGTATATAAAATTGGTGTTGCAGAGCCTCTTGCTTGTGGGTACCATATTATTAAAATATGTGATTATCTGTGCATTGTGCAATACAAACATCAAAGGCCGCTCTGAAGTTATACCCTATTCCACTATTCATTTAAACATAAAACAGGATTTTTTATTGTTTTACTGCATAGACATGTAAACAATAGTATTCTACTCCACAGAAATGCAATGGCATAAAAAAAGTGGCTTCCCCTCCTCACCGTAACTGCTCGTTATGTGGGGTATTCAAAAAGGTTAAATATAAAATGTTTTCTTGAGATCTTTGCACGCAATCCCAAGAAAATCAGAAAACAATGCTGAAACTGACAAAAGTCAGTTAAGAAATAACTTTCAGTATATTATTGATATTTGTAGAAATTATGATGAATTAATAACTGAAACTTATTCTAAAATGCATACACAGGATAATACAAACATCTCAGTTTTGTGATGGTAGTTAATACACCGTTTTTCAGTATCAGACTGACATAAGAATAACGGAAAAATGGCCACAAGGGAAAAATATACAATTAAAACTTATGTATCTAATTTATCAGGAGTTTTGTTTTAACTTGGAGATTGCAGCCAGCCTTTTGCAAACAGCTGCAATGATTTTAAAAATCACTTGGAAGCAAGAGTTAGATTTTTCATACCAGGAGCTCTTATCTACATGGTGACTATTGTTTTTGAGAGTGGTAACGTAGCACAAAGAATCTATCCGAACATTTGGGTGGGCACTTTGATTAAAGTGATCATCATTAAGTCATCCATGTTTACCAACAGTTAGCACAGAATGGTGTCAATAGAAAATTACTAGTGTAACAAAACTGAGTGGTATTTTGGATACCACAGTATAGTAATTATTGACTTTTTTTTGTTTACACTATCCCCATTGAAATCAAGTTAATTGATTGTCTGTATAAATCCTGAATACAGTGTCTTGGAATACTGAATGATAATGTATTGATATTGTGAATCCAGTGAAACAAATATTAGTTAGATGTTTGGTAATTTACTAGCTCTTAAAGAAAAGAGTAATAAGAAGACATACAATAATGGTAAATACAAGAGAAGCTGTGCAACATCTTTTCTGAAAGTGTCAAGCAGAGTTTGAAGAAATATACAAAAACATCTCTCACAGAACACTAATGCATTTTTAAAATTTGATTTTATTTAATATTGAGTCAAATTTTCCTCTTAATTACACTACTATAAATCAGGAGTAACTCTAATTCTCATGCATGTGTCTAAACATGAGCTATTATTATCCTACTGCATGATGATAAAAAGCTAGTCAATTTCTGCTATTGCCATAAATGGCTAACAAACAAAACACCTAACACATTGCAGCAGAGCAGCACCTTGTCACTATGATGCTGAGTGTATTTCAAATTACTTCGATAATTAAACAACTGCTTAGAGATAAACTTCGATAGGACACAGAAAATCATTTACCAGGTTTTGTCTGTGGCACATGAGGTTTGGGTGATGTTTTAGGTTTCAAAGGAACACGTCGTGTCTCTTTTGGAGCTGAAAGAGAGAACCTGGGTTACAAATTATTAAATTATCCAGGAATCAAAGTCTAATGCCAGGTGTAACACACAGACATGGCACATTTCAAGCCTGCAATGGAGAAACAAAATCCTTTTACGGGTAACAGGGAAGACAAAGTCAGGTGTACAAAGGAGTTTAAAGAAAAATACAGCATTATGAGTGTATCTAGATTTGTTTAAGCAGGGAAATGGAATTCCTGATCATTTTGAAGCCCATCTTAAAAAAAAGTTGGAAAATAAGTTGCAAGCACAGACAGACATGACTATGATAAAGATGTTTCAGAACTGACAGCCTTATTGCCTTAAAAAGGAGATAATACACCTGTGTAGTAAACAAAATTCCTAAAAAGCCTTTAGTGCCAAATGACAGACATATCTAAGAAAAAAAGAGGAATTTTAAGGAAAGAAACTGGTGATATGAGATGACAACTACAACGTGGTTTTCTGTGAAGAGAAGAAAAACAAACATGACTGGTCACTAAACACATTTCTTTACCTATTGTTGACCTTGGTGGTTCAATTCTAAGTGTAATGTGTTCCAGGACTGCATCAGAAACAAAACAACAGAAACAGCATGAGAATCTAAGCATGGAACACTCTTTCAAATGATCAAAGCTACTTCCTAGGTAAGCAATAAGTAAAAGATTATGCTAATCTGGTCTGTGCTAATGCAATGGATAATCAAAATTACCCTTGGATATCTTATTCTGACTTTTAGAAATTGCGGTCAATTAACTTTGAAGACACCATTACCATAAATAAATTGAATGAACTGGATGAAACAAACTCTCAATTTTGAGATAGTAAAAATCAAAGAATCATAGAAGTTAGAGATAGAAGAGATCTAAGAGGTCATCCATTTCATCTCGCAGTTAATACAATACTCTATTCTATAGTGCATTAACCAGTCTAATTTTAAAAGTCCCAAGCCATTGTGCTTCCACCACTTTCTTTAGTAGACTATTCTACTATCTAATACATCTCATTCTCAGCAAGCCTTCCCTGATATTCATGCTAAATTTTCCCTTTCTCTTTTTTTACCTGCAGCTGGAAGAATACAGCAATAAGATAAAATAAAATAAAAAACTTTAGTAGTGCATATACCCCTTTTGTATTTGCTTTCTGCAAACATTCAAGCTATTGTATCTCACTGCATGGAATTTCACAGAAACAAGTGTTCAGTTTGCATATTCATGGGAAGTGGTATAATCCAGTATGGGGTAGTACTCTGTGTGACTCAACAAGATGACACATTTCCCACGCTCCTACACCCCCAAGGTTTAGAGTAGAGGCAATTAAACAATCAAATCAGACCCAAAGGGAAATTATTTGCAACTACCAAACATCCATGTATGTATACACAAATATATTACGTGAGTGAAATGAGATAAAATTAGATTTAAACTCTCCACATAACTAATGTGCCTTACACTAGACTAATTTTATTTTATTTATTTCTTTGGGAATGAAGTCTTTGGCAAAGTTGTGTGGCTCAGAAAGGCAAAGACTGTAAAATTTCCTAATTCTGCTAATCTACTATTTCTATCCTCAAGAGATTCAGTCTTCCACCAGTGGCTAGTCATGTGGTTGAAGTTAAGCATGTATTTACAAAGCTTTACTGAATCGGGGACTACAAGAAGTACAGTCATCCAATCAGAAACACAAGGATATTTGTGACCAATCACCATTAATCAAACCATCTCAAATTCCAAACACTGAGTATCAAGTATTCCTAGCAAACTGATCATGATCAATCCACAGAATAGGAAAAAATACTGCAAAACGGGAACTAATTTTGAATAAATTAAAAAACAAACAATTTACTACAGATAATTTGCTATGAATTATTCAGTTGGCTCTAGTTATAGCCTATTAATCCTACTTATATCACAGGAGCAATAAATAATTCCTCTCAACCGTTAGCAAATTTTACCAACCTTCAAATATTCACAACCTTCAAGTATCAGACGACAGAGTCGATAACAAACTCCTGACAGCAAAGTAAAGGAAGCACATTAAATCAATGGGGTTTTGTTAGAACCAGTTGCATGAACAGGTAATTACCAGGTTTAGGATGTGGTAGTTCTGGCTCTGGGGACGTGTTAGGTTTGGAAGGAATGAACTGTGTTTCAGTTGGAGCTGAAAAAAACAAAGAAAAAAACCCCCACATTTCTAAACGTCTTAAGGAGTCACAGCCTGACTCTGGCACCATGTTTAAGCCATAAGAAGTGATACCTGCAATGTTGCCGACAACAAAAATTCAATTTAGTTGGTATATATTGTATTCAGCAATGACCGTGACTCTGAAAGGGGTAAGAAATACTGTTGTGTAGTGGGGCAATTTGAGAGCTTCTGACAATGGGGAAAACCCCTGCAAATGCTTAATTATAGAAGTTGACTTCAATGGCTATATTTGTGAGCCTAAGGACTACTCCCATAAGTGCGAGTGTGTTGAACCGAGCCCTGAGGTGACCAGAACAGTAAATTAGCGGCTAAATTCTGCCCTCAGATAAGCCAGTGGTGTTCCCAGTGACTGCAATAAGAAATGGATGCACGTATTTGAAGGCAGAATTTGGCTCTTAATCTTAAAAGAAAGTTGTATCAATTTTCCTCACATGGTCTTCTAAACATTCATGTAATTACAATAATTTCTTGTCATAGATATAACCATAATCTATATTTGAAATGCTTTTGATTGAAAATTGGCATTTCTGAGTCTTCTATTGGTGGTGGTAATCTTGCTGAGAACTAACCACCACCACTATGGGAACTAAAACATTACAGATCGTTATTTTTTCCTATCAAAAAATGGCCAGACACTAAATCCGACAGTTATTCACCATTCTTTCTAATTTGCTTGTTATATACTCTAGGCCAGGGGTAGACAACATAAAAATGTAGAGTCCTTCTGACATAGATCCTAGACAGTAAAATTGGCGCCTTTATCTGCAATTTCTGTACAAGGTGCACTGTAAGAAGAAAAGTACAGTCTCCTGAGCCACTACAGTGGATATTTTGCCATTAACTAGGGTAATATTGAGCCTCAATAGGGCCGGCTCCAGGCACCAGCTTGTCAAGCAGGTGCTTGGGGCGGCCGTTCCGGAGAGGGGCGGCACGTCCAGGTATTTGGCGGCAGTTCGGCGGACGGTCCCTCACTCCGCCTGGGAGCGAAGGACCTCCCGCCTAATTGCCACCGCAGATCGCGATCGCGGCTTTTTGTTTTGTTTTGTTTTGTTTTGGCTGCTTGGGGCGGCCAAAACCCTGGAGCCGGCCCTGAGCCTCAATGTACCACATTTCAAAAATAAAGATATTTACCAGGTTTAGATTGAGGCATTTTAGGTTCAGTAGATGATTTGGGCTTCAAAGGTGTGAAATGTATTTCACTGGATTCTGAAACAAAAATTTGGTTTATAACTATCAGCATTTAAACATTAGGGTGTAAACGTGTGTTTATCCCCAAAACACCACATGCCTGCAGTGAAGAAACAGCACTACAATGCAAAACTGGAAAACTATAATTAATATCAACAACCCACCAAGTAGAAAATTGCAACTGCAGGTTTAACAACAGAAGCTTATTGGACTTGAGAATAAAAGTAGCAGATAAGCTCTTTGCTCACAGAAGCCATCAAAGAGTTGGGATAAGACGATCTTCAGGAGCAAAATTATAGTTTCTAAATTGGAAGCTAAAAGCAAGGTACCTATCATAAAATGTAAAGAAAAAATGTCATGTGTCATTATATAATGTCTGCATCTGTAACTTTCACTCCATGCATCTGAAGAAGTGAGGTTTTTTACCCACGAAAGCTTATGCCCAAATAAATCTGTTAGTCTTTAAGGTCTTTAAAGAAAAAACTGTTGCCTTGGGCCACTCAAGGTCATTAGAAGAAATTTTACATGTAGCTTCTGGAGTGGCTGGACTTTTTGCTGTTAGAATAAAAATGAATTTAAGTAAAGACTATTAAACCCTGAGTCAGCAAAGCACTTAAGCAGGAATGTAAGTGCTTTGTTGAATAGTGTCGGACTTAAATCCATGCCTAAGCACTTTGCTGAGAGTGGTTTTAGAGAGCAGAGGTTTCTCTTAAAAATAGATCAATGTGCTTCCTTGAACATAATCTGCACAGTTAAAGACAGGCAGTTTTAAAAGAAGAATACTTCCGATGAGACTTGACGTTGCAAAGATGTAGTGCAACAGACAGCACTCTCTTAGTCTGGATGTGAGAATTTGTGTTTATTTTAAACACACACACACACACACACACACACACACACACACACACACACACA